CCAACCCAACCCAACCCAAGCAAATGAAACCTCAATATCATAGTCCCACCCTCTAGGACACAGGAGGACTACCCCTCTGGGTTTCCGCGGCCGTACAAACAGTCCCATCCCTTTTTGAGGGCTCCACACACCTTATTTACATGGCCCCATCCCCACATAGGTGCCAGAATTAGCCATCGATCCAACCCCCCAGCACCAAAAATAACAGGGGGAAAAGTAAACCTGAATTATTCAAGCACATACCACGGCTTGGCTGTTTTGCTTACCTCACAGCGGGATCCCAGAGCCCGAGTGACATTATCAGAGCGGGGTCTTGCCTTCCCCAAGGCCAGGGAGTCCACTGCGGCTCAGCGATTCTACAGGACATGCTAGCAATGCCCCTGTGCGTTTCAGACTGTCACTCTTGGCAGGAGGACAGTCTCATCTTTCCCTCGCAGAGCAGCTGGTCGGTGGTTTTGGTACTGCTGACCACCGCGCTACCAGGCCCCCTTCAGGGTAGCCCCAAAGGCCTCCGCTCTCAGCTAAATAATCCCAGCCACGTGTGCCGGATTGCAGCGCACGAGAAAAACTGAAAGGAGAGCTCGGATTGGTCCCCTGTGGCTCAATCCCTGGGCCGAGGCTGGTAGCATTCTGATTGGCAAGATCCAGGGCTTCCAAAAGCTGGGGGTGGGGGAATGGGTTGATGAAAAGCTCCTGTAATTTGTCTGGGAACGCTTTCAAGGCCTCTCTTCTATGGAAGCCAGTCCCACGCAGGGGCTGGGAATCGGTTTCTGCAGTCAAAGAGGGGGACCGGGTGTCCTCCTCCAAAGTAAAGGGCACTTTAGGATAGTGAGACTTAACAGCCAGGGGCCGGAGTGCTGTCAGCTGACATTGCGCCCAGCTGGGAGAGGGGTTAGGGAGTAAATTCCTGCCAGCTGCTGCTACCTTAGAGGGTGGAGTGGGGGTGGTTTACAAGGAGTAAGGAACCTTGGTGGCTAGGGGGTTACCTGTTGGGCTGCTACCCCCAAAGTCAGCAGTTTGAAACCACCAGCCCCTCCCTAGGAGAGTGGTAAGGCTTTCTACTCCCAGGAGTTGAGTCTCAGAAACTCACAGGGGCTGCCCTGCCCAGTCCGTTGGGTCACTGTGAGTCAGAATTGACTCAGTGGCAGGGAGTCTTGTTTTTTTTTTGGGGGGGGCACGGTTATGGGCTGTTAACTGCAACCCTGGTGGTTCAACTGCCAGCTGCTCCCGTGAAGACCTGCCGCCTCAGAAACCCTGCAGAGGGGCGCTGTGAGCCGGAGTCAGCGGGGTGCCAGTGGGTTTGTTTTTCCTTGGACGCCTCAGACACTGCAGACAAATCAGTGGACTCAATGACCGAGCAATCACGGCCTTGTTCTAATCGCCGTGTGGATACACTGGGACAATGAAGCCCTCTCCTCAGTCATCCGAATCCCGGGACTTCTCTATGAGCAAGTGTCAATGCTCGCTGCCGTCAACTCCGTTTGGACTCAAAGAGACCCTGAGGGCACAGAAAACCTGTCTCTGTGGGTTTCTGAGGCTGCAGATCTTTATGGGAGCAGACAACCTCATCTTTCTCGCCCAGAGCAGCTGGCGAGTTTTAGAACTGCTGACCTTGTGGGTAGCAGCCCAACATGTAATCCACTACTGTATAGGCTCAGAAAACCCTATCCAACAAAGCCCACTGCCATGAGTTGGCACTGATGGCGACCCTGTAGAAAGAACAGAATGGCCTTACAGGTGCAAGGCTATAATCTTTACAGAAGACCACTTCCTTTTCCTCCCATGGGGCAGCTGGTGGGTTTGAACTGCCAACCTTTAGGTAGCAGTCCTATGTTTAACCCACCATACCCTCAGGGCTCCTTGGGAAGTCCTAGCACGTGGGGTCACTTGGCTACAGTTAGCTGTGACATTGGCTGCAGTCACTGCTACCGTTGGTAACACTGTACCCACAACCAGAAGCAGAGGCCTGGGCAGCCAGTGTGGATGGCAATGGTCCTTTCTTTTTTGTGACATGCAAAGTCTTGGCATCCCTGTTGGGTCCCATGGCAGGTTACACGTGTTCTACGCTCTTCCCTCCCACCCACCCCCCCACCCCCAGCTTGGGAGCAGCAATTGAGGTGGCAGGTGTTGGCTGGCTTAGGCCAACCTCCTGGGGAGATGTGCACATGTTTGGGCGTCATTTTATGCCTATGTACGTTTGGGTAGTCACTCCTAGGTTGCAGGAAGGCGAAGGAGGCTGTAGATCTGAGAACGAGTGGAATCCTTAACTCCAGTTATCTCCTGACATTAGAAGGAAAGGGGTTCCGTTTTGGAGACTGTCCTGTGTCCTTTAAAGGGATCGGTTTTCAGTAGGGTTGCTCTTAGGTGCTGTCACCTTGGTTCTGACCCACAAGGACCCCAAGTGCAAGAGGACGAAACACTGCCTGCTCCTGCACCATCCTCACAATGGCGGTTGCTTGGGCCCCCATTGTGGCCACTGGGAGTCCTTCTCCTTGGTACTCACCAGCAGGGAACTAAGGCTAGGCGAAAGACCAGGGGCGGGGGGTGGCGGGAGGGGTGTCCCGAGACACAAAGGAACGACAGGTGCACTTCAGTTGATGGCACTCTGTTTTATTGTACTTTGCAGGCAGGTTGAGGGTTTGTGGCAGTCCTCTATCGACTGAGCAGATCCCATGGGGCTATTTCCCCCCCACCCCCAGCAGCATGTGCTTGCTCCGTGCCTGCTGCATTTTGGGACTCCTCACACGATGGATTTCGAGCTTTTTCAGAAAGCAAGAACTGGAACAGCGTCTTGGGCTGATAGACTGCGAAAGACTTCTCCAAGTATTAAGGAGCACAGGTGACACTTCGAGGACCCAGACGCGCCTGACCAAAGCCACGGGATTTCCCGCCACCTCATATGCATGTGAAGGGTGAGCAACAAGTCCTGGAGGCTGAAGAAGAATTGATGCGGTTGAATGGTGCCGGGGAGAATATCCAATCTACCACGGACGCAAGAAGAACGAGCAGCTGTGGTTGAAGAAATACGGCCAGAAGGCTCCTCAGCAGCCAGGAGGGCGAAGCATCATCTCACATGCTTTGGACGTGTCATCAGGCAAGCCCCTGGAGGAGGACATCGCATGTGGTAGAGGGTCAGCCAGAAGGAGGCCGACACTCCACACAATGGGCTGAGGTGGTGGTCGCAACCGTGGGCCCCAAGATAACAACAATCATGAGGCTGGCACAGGACCTGGGTGGTGTTTCTGTTGTGCATGGGGACGCTAAGAACCAGAACTGAATCTGCACTTAACGACAGCATTGGGCACTAGGTAGACTTCCGGGTAGCATCAACATAAATTGTTCATGTGTGTTGGGGAACCAAAAGATTCCTGACTTGCTTGCTTGTGAGACTGGCTGTGTGGTGGTGGTGGTCTGCACTTGCATGGGGCATCTCGCTGGAGTTTGCCTGTAGGCTTCGAGGAGGGAGTGAACAGCGGGGTCAAACACTGTGGAGTGGTAAAAATGCCAGATCTCAAGTTGAGGACGAATGCCATGTATCCATCCTGAATTTCACTTAGACATCTGGATTTTTTTTGGGTGGGGGGGTTTGTTATGCTCTGTAAACTCAAGTTTAAATAGAGCAAGACGTATGTCTCAGTCTCTTTGTAAGACTGTCATTAAAATGATATTTCTTGAAAGCCTGTGATCTCTCTGTGACAATGGACCGGGTGGCACTGCACCCATCAAGGGTGTGTGACCTTCTTCCCTGGACATGGCAGGTGGTCTGTCAAGGCATCCATCTCTTCACCATTCCCTTGGAGGGTTTACTGTAGGGCAGGTGCCCTGGCACAGCAGATGCCGTACACTTGACCCCGGTGATGGTCAACCATGTGCAAGTTTTCAATTGAGGTGCTTACAGGTGTTCACACAAGTTGTCTCCAGTATACAGTTACCACGTATGGTATCAAAGATTCGAAAATAATTCACCAAAGCCAACCACGACTGCCGCCTCATGTCTCTGCTGCCATCTGTAGGTTAAAAGTCCTTTCCACTCGTCCCGCATGCTCAGGACATACCTTGTGGTGAGGTGGGCGGAGGGCAGGGGCAGTTACCCATACGACCATTCCCAGTTCCAGTTGGAGGCTGGGCTCTGGCAAGGCTTTGGCTACCTGGTGAAGGCCACACAGATGGAATCCCTTTTCCTGGGTCAGGCAGCTCTGCCTTCAGCTGCTCCCCTCTCTGGAATCCCAGAGACAGTCTCCTCCCACCTGGGTGCCCTGCACCACGGTGCGACCAGCCTGTCCTGTCTCCACAGCCCACTAGACAAGGCCACTGTTGTTGCCAAATCCCACTCCAGGGGCTGACAGCTGACTTCGGGGGGGAGAGCCAGCCACGGACTTGCAGCTTGGCCTTACTGTTGGCTGAGAGATGATAGCGCCCCTCCTTCAATCACCTGAGTCTCCCCTCCACTTCAGCCCACCCTCGCTGGCCCACGCTTTGCCAAAGTGGAGTCTTAGCCACCCCCACGCCCCCTTCCAATTGCAGACGCTCCTGGAAGCTGGGGAAGAGTTCAGTGAGGGAGGGAGGGGCCGGCCTGGTCTGTGTTCAAGCATCAAACAGGACTATCTGGTCAGGGACTCACTGGCCCTTACATCGAAGTGCAAGAGAGCAACCCTTGAGACTAAGCTAGGGACAGCTGACCTCCAGAAAAGCCCCCCC